TGTTTGGAAGATTAACTTGATTAGGTGAACGCCAATCGCGAAGGACACATCTCATAATGACTTGTGTGCATCTGTTCATTTTGAATCGCCAGATAGAAATGTACAATTGCTGCTAAAGTCATCGATATGCTTCGCTGATGGATGAACGCACGCGGCACTTTGGATTCACGTCACAGCATGACACCGGATGACCGTATAAGCAGTAGTCTGTTTTTGTACGAGGGACTCGAATTTTAGAGGAAAAAACATAAATGTGTTTATGAGTGTTACACTTTTGTTCAATATCATATGCCTATTTATCAGCGATTTCACATGCCTTCAATAGCTCAACAGGGATTACGGTTGTAGTTGTTGGATCTTAGAAGAAAATTATCTACGATGGTTTCCTGACCCCGCGGGCTGGCTGCATGAATGGAATTTGTGGGAATTTAATATTAAACCACAGGTGTGTGCACTCAAACAATTCATATTGTCGAAATACTTGAATTGAAGCATGTTGTAAATAATCCTGTCGTGTCGAAAGTCATCGCAGTGGGTTGCAAACAACTAGCAAGTGAACACAAACATCATTTGAAATGAACAACACATTTTCAGCCTACAAATTACCCACAATCCATTGCCAGGCAAGTAATATATTCTGCATCTTTCGTAAGTTTCACACATCTAATAGCGAACGCTACACCCAGAGCGATTCGAATGTTCACTGCGCATACAGATCGCGTTAACTCAAGTGTGTAAATTTAACGAATGTCTTCTTACCCGACTAACAATGGCTTCAAATTCCAAGCTGTTCAGTGTTGTTTTGACCAAAGTGTAATGCGAATCCCAGTTTAAGCTTGGAAATAGTTCAAATAACTGTTTTTCTTCTTTGTTTAAAAGTAGTATGCAATGCGTGAAATTTTCCGTCTGCTTTCGTGTTGAATACGAATAACATCAAGCGTCAATGACGCTTTCGATCATTTGTCATTTCACGGATATATGTTAAGCACGTTTTACTTCATGGAATATATACACATTTAGTTTAAAAATACAAATACCGCTGCACGCAACTAACTACATGTGTATCTCGCATGCTTTTATGACAACAACGCATCTAGTAGGACAGGGTATTGCCTGGGATTGGCTAGAAATGATAAACAAGCAATGGTTAACTATGATGCTTATAAAACTCTCGATAACTGAGATTTTGACTGGTGTTTTGAATCAGCAGCAGTAGATATGACGCAGTGATTTGTTTGTGCGTATCTGCTTCCGCAAGGAATAAATCATAATTTCCTAGTGAAACTAGTTACGTGTTTTTTCAAGTTTCTGTGTGAAACCAAATATGCCCGGATTGTATTGATTCCGTTTTACTGAGGCATTTGACCTTCCCGGATGTGAATGCGATACTGCACACGTGTTGACGACACTCGATTTAGTATTTGTTTTAAATAAACAGATGTCGACAACATTTGCTGATTAGCACCATCATAAAGTAACCTTCGACTCTAAGGTTATCCCACTGTAGTACAAGATACGACAATTCAACATTCACGTCGTCTCCGTTAGGAGTATATTTGCCTAAGGCACTTATTTAAGCAATGCGATCAGTTTGTAGTGTAATAGATATTACTAATGAAAAATAGTTATTTTCTTTCCCATAGACAGAAGATTATGAGTTGAAATTGTATATATAAAAAGTAATACTCACACGGTTAATCTCAGTAATGTAACATTGAAAATACCCCTTAATACCTAAAATGTTCGAGAATTTTTAAACGCGTTACTACAGACAGAATTATTTGTACAAAATGACTAACATTCTAAAATGGCGTTAGATTTCGAGATGACACTTTAACGCGTGCTCGGTTAAAATGGGAGTAGGAAACCCGTAGTATATATCAACGTCCGCATTGTCAAGATATCGCCAACGAGAGATCCTCTTTTTAAATTTGTCTTGGCAGTCCTTACACGTTTACATTTATCGGATAAAAGTGCCAAGCAGGACATCAACATGTTTATACGCGTATCCCCTAATTTTCGAGCTATAAAAAGAAACCACCACGATAGTGCTTTATTTCAGATTCAGGTTGCGATTTGTGTGAATTCGTTTTTGATCGAGAAACGTCGTAAACGAGTGAATAGCTATATTAGAGCACATTGGATGAAACCATTTTAAATTGCACTTGCGATTATTGGTTAGTATAACAATTATATTTAATAATAAGACTGCGAAAGAATGAGTATGATATGTTATAACGACACACAGACAATATACAGTGCTATGGCGATAACTGGGATTCGAACACAGTGGGTGAAACCATTCTAATTCTGAGAGGGGTATAACAATTCAAAAAAGGAAAGGTTTTACATATTAATAAAAAAAACTTTCAGTTAACAGTTGAAGACAAGCAATGCAGTAATGTTGAAACAACTTAACTACCACGCTGATTTATTGAATGATGGAGCTTTCGGTAAGCAAATTCATGTTTCTACTTCGGCAAAATCTTTATCTGAGTCAGGACAATAAGGGCAATGTTTAAAGTGTTTAAAAAATGCGTTTGTTCAAACTGACTGCGAAATATTGGATTGACTCGATACGTGTGTGTAGCATATTCTGTCATTGACACCTTTCTGAAATGAAATTTCATACATTTGTGATAAATAACATACATTTCGGTTATCAGCTCAAAACTTTTCAACAAAATTAAATCACTACATATTAGATTTGATATTGACGAAGACCAATTTCATTTTGCGTTGTTGAAAAAACCGTCGTAGTTTCACGTAATCAAAAGTGAACGTCAAGCTCGCAATGCATTCCCCGTCTTAAAGCGCGGTAGTCGTCGCACAGCGCGTGTTCGAATTTCATGTAAATAAACAACGTATTTTACACGCGTTGTCTACATCGCTACGGCACGACGACTGCCGCCCTTTAAGATTGATCGACAAAAACGTTGACAAGTATATTAACGCGTATTTGAAGTCTCTAAAATCCTCACATTCTTGTGTATTTGCATACTCACTGATAGACTGAGATGGGTAAACTGTGATCCCAGTATTAGCTACGCTGTACAATTTGATGCGTGCACGCACTGCATGCTAATAATTATACTTAACGATGCGTTGCAGAAGTCCCGTGACCTGTGAAAATTAGTTAAGTAGTATTCATCGAACACGCCTACCAAGAGAAATATTTACATGTCATCTTTGTCGAAATTAAACATAAATCTTCATTGTGGAATATGATTTTATGTTTTCATCGCCAGTGAGGTGATTTATATGAGTGATAATTCAACTAAACCAGTGATAAATTAATATATCACTGAACACGTGAGTGTTCATAATAGTAATCTACCATATGCATATTGTCCTAAAACGTCTTGAGATACCATCAGTTGTCTGATATCACATTTAAGGATAGAATACGCTCTCACGAACTACGATCTCTGCGTTAATTTTAGCCTTTATAACCAGTGAAATGAATACATAGGATAAATGGCATATCGAATTCGTGAACATACAACAGACCTACTCGTGTAGTATTTTTCATTTGTCAATTTCTCTAAAGAAATGAAATGTACTATACTCGTTTAATAAATCTGATATTGCTGGGTCAGTATCATCTATCTACCACCTGCGCAAATAGCAACCAAGAAGGCAGAAGGTGGGTCAACTCGATGATAGTTACTATACCACGCTGTGATATGATAATAACAAGGTTTGCCAAATAGGATTTTAAGTATTATAGCGGGTAGCTTCAATACACAGTAAAATATTTAACAAAACTAAAAGACGTAAGGTACGGAAAAACACGTGACAGGATATCATTTTCTTCAATAAGTATAGGACATGTAGAATATAATAACCTGTAGCTATGTATTGACTTGAAATATTTTCTGAAAACATACAAATTATATGAGATATTTTCTGAAAACATACAAATTATATGAGATATTTTCTGAAAATATACAAATATTCCCAGCATTGAAATGATATACAGTCATTTATTAGTGTAGTCACTTTTGATCAATAACAACACACTGTTAGTTGTATACGACATCATTGTGATTTTGTGCATAAAAAATATAAAGAGTCTTCCTTTTCTTATACGAGCTACATGGTTAGAACTAAAGAACATCGAGCGTAACGAAACAGCTCGATGTTTGGCTGATTAACGTAACTAAGTGGACGTCAATAGTGAAGGACACTTTTGCATTATAAAACAGTGTATAGGTGTCGTCTTTGACTTCATGTCGCGTAGTTACGACTCAAATGATAATCGAGACTGACAAACGCACCCGTAACTTGCTGCTAATTGTGACTCGATGATATATAACACAGTAGATTCACGCCACGACACGGCATTGCCATCTGGTTTTAGTCTACGAAGCGTCGGTTTTTTTTTAAATAATGATTTATGCAATTATATTTAAACAGATTCGATTTTTAGAAAAAATACATCGGACACAGATGAATGTCCAGCATATATAGCATACATTGTGTGTTTGTAAGCGCAGTATTTTCACAATATGCTGGTCTATTAATGATTCACATAACTCGATAGGAGGCCAAGACGGCAATTGTTCGTTTCAAGAAAAAACTGTCTACAGTGCTTTCCTATCGCTGTGGGTTGGCTGCGTGAATGTAATTTGATTGGCTAGGCCCGACAGGATGTTGAACTGATCCCATCACTTAATAACATCATTTTCATCAGATACGATATTAGCCTTATTTGATTCTACATCATTAACCTTGACTTTTTTTTGCTCCAATTTACAGATGAAGATGAGTCGTGCTCGCAAACCTAAACAGAGGTGAATGATTAAGCCTGTAAAAACCCATCACGATTATCAATCTTCGAAGACATATACGTGAAGATTCGTATCCAGAGTTTACCAATACATGGTGAGACCGCATAGTGTGTTGATACTATACAGCGACGCTTGGAACGTTGATTTATATTTAACGGTTAACCCTATATATATATATATATATTATACGCATTGAAAAAAAAAAACATGGGTTGTGCGAATTCTCACCATGTTCAAACCAATTCTTCATTGAAGCTACAAAAACAGAAAACAGTCGACAGTGCGGTTAGCTTTACCGATCGCGAAACTGCTATATTGCGAAGCACGTGGCCATTATTGGCATCGGATATGACTAGAAACGGCGGCAAGATTTTTCTTCAGATCTTCGCTGTGGCTCCCCATGTGAAGGATTTGTTTCCCTTCCGTTACGTCCCTAACGATATGCTTCAACAGAACGAAATCTTCAAGATGCACGGGCGGCGATTTATGCAATCTGTTGGGGCGGTTATAGAGAACATAGATAACCTGGACGGCGACATATCTATTCTACTACACAACTTGGGGAAACGACACACAGATTTTGACGAAGTCGACGGTGCGTACTTTGACATTTACACGGATTGCATGATGCATACTTGGCGATCGAGTCTGGGGAACGAGCTTTTCACGCCGGACGTCGGACAAGTCTGGCATAAATTGTTCGATTTCATTATCAATTGCATCAAAGATGGATATTTCCTTGCAATGAAAAATAAAAAAAATAACAGTGACGAAGTTAAAAAGATATAAGAAGTGAATGAAACAACAGCCGCACAAAGGCTGTGGGGCTGCATATCCGTTAATGCTGATATATTTGTGCAATCACTACGTGACTGCGTATCATATGTACTCAGCCCATACACATTATTACGCATGTAGTATACGTTACCTAGCCATTGCGTATTGTTAAGCACTGTACAAATGCCACTAAACATTTCTTAGAAAGAAATTGAAATGTATATATTCGTAACAAATGCATAAAATATTTGCAATTTTAAGATCTAGCGGTGATAGTTTCTATATAACGTTATTGGAAAAAGTTTTCCTTTTTCCTCTTTCTTGCTTTCCTTCGAGGAATACAGGGTAGTAACAGTTTATAAATCACAAATTAAACTAGATTAATAAGAAGCTGCGTAAAAGGAAGAGACATGTTTATTTCTTTTTTATTTGTTTTATATTTTAATAATTGATATTTCAAATATATGTTAACAGGACACGACAAAGCCAATAAATGATTTGTTTATTGAACTCTGATATTATAAACTCAATTCGATAATTTTGCGATTTACCAATATATTGAATTTTATTCGCAGCAAAATATTGTAATTCTACTGTATTTTACAACAAATGTTACACAATACATTGTATGCATTGGTATTGAAATGCTCGTAAAATCGATGAAATGTTGGACTCAATGAGAAATTTGTAAAGCTCAGACCTAAAGTAAAAAATCAGGTGAGATAACATAATGACCGCGTGGTCTATTCTTGCATACTGATGTTTCCGTTACATCTAATATGTACGTTTGAACATGTTTATGACAGAAAATCATTGTATATACTCGCCATGCCAATAAATATATATATATATATATTGTTCACAATCAAGTCACTCACATTGTTTAATACTAATACAAGTTGTTTATAGACCAGAATTTCGAACTCTTTTCTGCACATGTACATCATTACCCTGGCTAAGATGATAATCTCGTCATGTTGAACCAATAATATTTGCATTATTTAATGTGTGAAAACGCAACTTCCAGGCGCAGTTAAATTACTGGCAGCGTGATCCCACACTGCGCATGTTAGTTTGAGTGAGTGTACGTTTCTACTCAGAAGATGTAGTCGAAACATTGAGTTTTGGAGCGGTATAACTTGCTGTCTAGAGACGTACTTTTCAATATTTAAGAGATTATGACACGGAAAACAGTGAATTACACAATATTTTGAGATAAATACACTCTTCATACAAATTACTTAAACTTTTACTTGCAACGTATTTCAGATTGTTATATCACACAGAAACAAATGTATAATACTATCACGAGAATACCTCACAGTGTGCATTCAAACAATCGATACGATCCCCGCATACGTTAGGGTATTTTCGTATTACCTGCATACTCATAGCATGATATCCCAGGCATGGGTATGAATTTCACATCGGGCCAGTTTCTGTTATGTATATCTGTAGTCTATAAAATTCGAGGTAAGATTTCCTTATATTCAATGGTGGGACGTGGGTGCCACTGAGACACCAAAAACGTGGCCATATTCACACCTAGGTAACTACAAAATATATACCTATACTTATACCATAAGTGCATTTTGTATTGCGAAACAACGATCCAGCAACATGTTCTAACCCAGTTTGCCGGTGAGAGCCCTCCAGGAAGAGTGCAATGAGATACGTGATTTGGGTCAAGGACCCACTAATGCGTAAACAACGAAAGTGATCACCTACACACAGTTCATATTTGTGGTCGAGTGTCTAATTACTAACCCACACATTGGCATCCAGGCGAGCTGCCGTGTACGATGGCGTCGATTTACATTCACATCTGCATTTGTTTCCTGTTTTATACTGAGTATCATTTCTCGTACGTGGATTTATATATCGTGTTATATTTCATAATTTTGTGTTTGTCATATATGATTTGAATATTTCTATATTGTTACCACAACTATAACATCAGAGAGTGAAGTATGGTTAGACAACAAACCAATTAAAACAGACATATATATCTCTGAAAATGACAACATAATTGCAATGATAATTCCATTTAGAAAGCTGTATTCCAAATTCCATAATTGTTACCAACATGGATAGTTTATTTTATAAAGTCACGACCAGTTTTAAAAAAAATCTGCTAGATACATAACGCTCACAGTCAAATATGTGACTCTTATCTTTTATCACACACAGTTGTTTTGTCAGGATCCACTTCTCAGTTTAATATCTAAATTATGATCACTAGAACGAAACATAGAAATTTATATTGATGCAAATTTTTAGTTTGCCCCTTCAACATTTGACATCATATTTCACCTTGCTTGCATTGTTCGCTGTCATATGTAACACAATTTACAATATGTCAACTGAAATCGCAATTCCATACAAACAATGTTAATACGATCTTCATTTGTGGGTATACACAGTTGTTTAATATAGCAAAACATCTTGCCAGAATGTACTAGTAACTCACCGGGTCTGATGTGTCTGATTCCACACAGCCTTGTCTGTCACATTGGCCTTACGAACACCGTAATTCCCTCAAAAATATTTGTACAACATTTTGCGTATTTCTAGTTTATTCTATAATTTCTTCTTTAAAGCGGGTCCTCATCTGCGCATGCATTAGATAGCCATAGCGTGTCATTGTTTACAAACAAGCGTCTACCCATGAGCCTTTGCGTTTTTAGCGTCTGTTATCGTCGCTTGGGACTCAATTCCCGCGCGTGCGCAGATGACGATCCTCTAGCTGAACCAATTGATTTTAATTTCCTATCAGCTACAGATATAACACTTTTATTTAGAAAAAAGAAAACAATGTGCTGCTTTATTTGTGAATGGCTGAATTTGAGAAACATGTGATCTTTACTCACCGAGTTCAATGGGTAAAGTATATTGGAAACTATAACATTACATCTTTTGTTTCAGACATGTGTTATATAGCAAAGCGCTGCTCTATTATTGTAACAATTATTTTGCCACATAATTTTTGCAGACAAAGGTTGAATAGTGTAAGATGACCTTAATTAGTGCCAGGTTACCGTCAGCAATTGTAAGCCTATGCAGGAGTCTGGGACATAACGTCGTTGATGTAGGTCAATCTATGATACTGAACTCTGCGTGATATCGACAAGCCTCCCAGAGATCTACGTGATTTGAAATTTGTCAGTATTGTGACATGTTGAGTTCAATCTCACTGACTGGGAAATGGCTGAGGATTTTCTGCACACAAATTACACACGGAGGAACGGATCAGAGTAACAGGAAGTTAATTCTTCTGAACAGGGATCTACTATCTCAAAATTCATTACTAAATTTTGTTTCTAATTATTCATTACACATTGCTAAAAAAACGTTGTCGAATCAATCATAAAATAAATCTTTTGCACAAGCCTCGGGAATGGCGCACAGCTCAATATCACGTATAACATAAAAAATAATATAATTGTTGAATGCATGTTGCTACCCTGGGTAGGAGTCTGGCAGTACACCCAATTATTCCCCGTGTTATACTATCTGGATTTTAGCATTACCCTAGTCAAATTAAATTTTCTGAAAACCTACCAAAAATCAATTTCTTTGAGCAACAAAATCATTAACATTTCGGCAAGGACATAAAATATGCAAAACATTTGTAGAGGGTCGGCAAGGGGTATTTTTGTAGGTGTTTTTATTTATTGTTTTTATTTTCGAAATAATTTCATTTAAATAAATAAAAAACGTAAATTCGTAGACATTGGCAAGGTGTAAAATTTAATCAGCTATTTTATTCGTTCGTAATTTGTACAAAATTTTTATTTTTTGTAAGCGTATAAAGCATTTTTCCACATCATATGTCGCAATTCGTACGCAATTTCCAATTTTGATTTTTAAACACAAATTATAACAATGTAAAATGTAATTACAAACTTGCGTTATCCGTAAAATGTAAAAAACTATTTCATTTTATTTCCTGTAAAAAGGTACAATGCCTTTTTTATTTCATGTAACCTGTACCACCTATCCCCTTGCCCCCCACGCTGTATGTATATGACCCGCCTCAATCCTTATCGTTAACCATCTCTATTGGAACTTTTGTTCACCTTCGTCAACAAAGAATCATTAATTTTACCGTCGCATCACCATTATACCTTGACCGAATTCCCACTATAAACCTTTATTCAATGTCAAAGAAATCAAACAAAACTGCGCGTATTCTGATGCGTTCTCGCGGTATATTTAACACGAAGTCACGTATTGTGATTCATGTCAGTGGAAAATCGAACGCGAAATCGATTTAAATCTGAAATTGACCGAGTTGATGGTGTTACAGAAACGCCGATTAATGGATCCAACTTTTTGGTGCACCGTATCAAATCGTGCAATGTAACTGGGGTCAGACACAGTCCTGTTCAAATACACCTTTTCCTAACACGACCACTTGACGAGTCTCATAGCTAAACAAGATTGTAGCCTTAGATCAACCTGATATGAACGTTTGACGGCGCACTTTCATAAAACCCTAATATTGATAGACGTTAAAGGGCGGCCGTCGTCGCGTTGCCTCCTGTTCGATGTGGAACTCATAGCAACGTACACAACGCGTGTAAAATACACTGTTTGTTTACATTAAATTCGAACACGTGCAGTGCGACGACCACTTCTTTTTTTGGAGTAATAAAGTACTAGTATTGCTCTTTATATTCATTGTGAAAATCAAATTGTTTGTTGGAATTACGTTATGCATTGTGATACTGTGAAATAATTTATTTTCACTGGAATAAATTTTCGCTGAAAAGACTTTTTTGGGTATTTTGTGTGGAATTTATTTTCACTGATTTTTGGTGAGTTGAATGTAAAACCTAGGAAAAAAGGTAAATTTGCTGGATTTTATTTTCACTGAATCACTCCTTCGGCGAAAATAAAGTATTTTACAGTATTTTTTATTTAGACGCGCAAGTTTCACGCCGTTGTCAATGCTTTTCATGATAAACACTATTTGCTTATAGGTGGGTGTGCCGGGGAGTGTGTGTTCTAGGCGACCGCGTAGCCTGGGTCGTGACGGCGATGCTCGGTTTTTAAAACAACGCGTATAGTTTTGCGAATACCATGCAAGCTTTATTATAATACACATATTACTTATTATGGCAAATGCTTCAAACCATTTTTTTTCAACTTGAACAATACAACTTTAGGAAGTTTGAAACAGTTTTGCTCTCGCGATGTGTGCACGATACTGGGGTTGCACAGTTCATTTTAGTTCTAGTAAGTATATGCTCACACAAGTCGTGCATAATTAATGCTACTTTTTTAACCCAGAAATATTTAACAATTTGTGTGTGTATTTGGGGAATCATTGATCAATTAATAATTTCAATTTTCTGGGAACTTATTTGAAAAATTACCATTTATTGATTTTAAGAGTGAAACATGTTGTAAGCTAAAAAAAACACAAATCATGTTTTATTTACTATTCACCAGAGCATTTCTTTTATCCTGAATTAAAAGTAAAAGAAACAAGGGTTCAATGGTTATGAATTTTGTTTACGTTTTGTCTCACTTGATTGTAAAATGTTTGTTGTCAACGTTTTATGTGATGTCATTTTAAAACAATTTTCGTTGTTCCCAAGTACCCGCAAAAGTCATCAAAATCGATCTGTGAATAAATTCCTAGTTTCATAGTTGAATACCATTTTGAGATAGATCAGTGACTATGTTTATTTATAGAGAATGTTGTTATCCCGAATTTCAACATTACCTTTTTTTTATTTGAAACGAGGTAGGGTACTCCCGGCTTTTTATTATTAATAATAGTTTATAATAATCTGGAAGTGTCCAAAAAATAAAAAAATTCTCAATGATTTTCTGAAACTGTATTTAATATCCTCAAATCATTAATAAAAGAAAAAAGTCTTACTGGGAAACAAATGCAATTATAAGAGTAAACGGTCATTCAAGCGTGTGACGATAACATCATCTGGGCGGCGTATATAGAAATGAGTCCCATGGCAATTTACACCCATGTACGTGAAATCCCACAACTCGGAGATTTGCAGATATTGTTCATATCTAGAAACTATTTTTAACCTTTGTAAAAAAAAAAAAAAAAAAACGTTATAGTACGAGTTAGTAATAAACACACACACACACAAAAAAAACACACTACAGCGATATTACAGTTGTCCAAAAAGATATATTCAATATATTTTGTAATATATAATTATTGAAGAAAAACAATGGTTAAGGGGCTGTATCTGATGTATGTATATATATGTTGTCTGTCGTTTCTGAATTCAATCCCCCTCTGGAAACATTTTGACCTGTAGAGGGCGATGTTACAATTGCGTTTCTAAACGGTTATGCATAATGTAATCGTATCAATCATTAAAACATACAACTAGGTAAGCTAAAACAAGGTAAACATACTATCTTTTGTGGATGGACTATTTAATCATGATAGGCAGGTAGAATATTTATTATAAAATATTTTATCATCAAATACTACTCCTCTTTCTGTTTTATAAACATGATATACATGTATCTTGTGGCTAAAGTTTGATTCTGGAGGAAAGACTTTCCAACAGTAGTTTGAACGCATTTTTTCATTGATCAAAATAACCCACCCATCTATACTTGTATCAAAAAATGGTGATATTTCCTGTAATCCTTTTTCAATTGAAACTCGTGCACGTTTCCTTGAATGGGTGATTTGAATATATTAATAAGAACATGTCATCATATTACAGCACTGAACGATTTGAATGAAACAACTTCAGGTCAGTGGTAAGATGATCAGTGCATGTTGCCAAGGAAACAGAGACATTGAATAAGACATGCATCACAGTAAGTTAGAGGAAGAATGTCATCTTAAAGGTAGCGGTAGTCATCGCGCAACGCATGCGCGAGATATATGGGTCTCATACAAACAAAGATGGCGGCTTTGACTGTCGCGGAGATCAATGAGTACAAACTGAGACGTTACTAAGCTTTAATTAGGTATTTTCAGGTGATTTGGTGATTTGGTTGTATCAAAACGTGCAAACTAATATATTTCCATGAGTTATGACTTGATTTCAAATTGGCTGTACTGTATATACTGCATTTCAGTTTCTGAATGTTACCAATAACATTACTGTGTAGACTTTATCACAATAAATCAAAGAGATTAAATTTATAAACAAGTTATATAACATCCGTCAGTGTTTAATAGATATACTGGTTACGTCCCCCGTATTTAAATTAATTGCCCCCCTCAACCCTTTCATAGACATATTTGTATATACAATGCATAAGACATAATACTATTGTCAACAAAAAAATGCCATCACATTTGTTTTCCGGGACAAGTTTCTGACTCAAATAATCTTCAGTAAGAAGAGCAGTTATCAAGTTTGTTTGACAAAGTTTTTATTTAAGTCAAACATCACAAAAGCCACATACAAGGCAATGATTGTAATAGTAAGCTCATTTACATATGTTGATTTTTTTTGGACATTTTTTTATTCCACAAAATAAACACTGATGCATAAAATACAGGGTGATGCCATGCCTAATATTATTTTGATGTATCGGCAGTTAGATATACATTTCTTACATATGTATTGAGTAGTGACTATTGCCAGAATGTTCGCCTCTTTTTACTCATTAAGCATCAAAACATCAGCTCAAAAAAATACCTGTACCTAATGGATGAAACATAAATAAAAGTCTAATTTAAGTTAAATATTCATAATATACTTTCTAGTCTTCAATGCATGAGCTACTTCACCTGTTACACGTTTAATGACTAACAGTGAAGCCATATCGATATGCACAGAGGAAGTCTGAAGTTCTGCTCTAGGCTTCAAATTTCATGCTTCACTACATTTCAAACTGAAACCAAAAACTGAATTGCCAATTTAAAGAGGCATTTTTTGCATCTTGCTGGGTCAAATTTTTAACTTGATAGATAGCAATATTTTCTTACAATAACCCTAACCTTGCTCTTGTGATGTTATCAGATCCGAAGACTGATTTTGATAATTTTACAGTGAAAACTATAGATTTTGTCATTGAAATTGCTCTGGATGTTGTAAGTTCAGAACAACCGAGTCATAGCATATTTACGCATAGAAATAAACAAATATTTGAACAAGATGGCTGCCAGTCAGCCATTTGAAATTTGATGGTAATGGCGACAAGTCATATTATGTTCAATGTTACATACATTTAAAGTTTAAAGTAGGAGGGTCGTTACTTGCGCGCACGCGGGAATTGTGTCGCAAGCGACGATAACAACACACACTAAAAACGCAAAGGCTCAAGAATAGACGGTTGTTTGTAAACAATGACACGCTATGGTCATCTGACGCATGCACAGGTGACGACTCCCCCGTTTTAAACACCATCTGAAATGTGGTAGAGCAGTGTGAATTTTCATACTTTTTAGCCTTAAAGTAGCTGCCATTTAGCCATATTGAAACAAATGTATGTGAATTTACGTCCTATATGATTTATAATGTATGCAAATTAGAACTTGGTTAGTCCTGGAAATGGACAGAAGTTAAACACAGACACAAGAATACACAGAGGTCAGAGGTCAACTGAGAGATAATACTTATTTAACAACTTTGAAATGTGATAAATTTCTATTCATATTTTTTTATATTTATTGTTGAAAAGAGGATGTTTAGACCAAATTAAAGTATATGTCATTTATTTATGATTATGCCATGATTGCAATAAGTGGAGTTACCAGACACTGTACAAAATATCATGAACTTACCAAAACTTTGCATTTTTGCACTGGTTCCTATAGTGAACTATTTTCTTTATATCTCAAACTTTTGATGAAAAAGACAAAATTTATTATCGATGTAAATCCTAATATTATTAAAAACATTTACGAAAAAATCACATTTAATTTAAATTACTGGTAAGGATTTTCTAGTGTTAATAATAGTTTTCCAATATATACAATGAGAATTTTCCCTCCATAATGCATTGTACCACATGCGCAAAAACATGCTTGATTGCAAAACAAAATGAATTTAAACAGTTCTCACAATATGCAGTGGAAAAAAGAACACAAAGCAGATGTAGCATGACATTTTAATCATATTTTCCACTGACCTTTGCCACAGTTGCATGACATATTTTTTCATAGTATATTTGATGTCACCAACAACTAAATATACATTTACTTCCATAGCTTCATTTCACTTACGTTCATTTATACTTAAAATTACAAAAATAGAATCGATTAGTTTGATACAACCATCAAAAACTGACCCATGCAAGATTAAAAAAAACATTTCTTTTGTAATTCATAAATTTACTTCATCAATATCAATTATTTGTTCTAAAGGCATATTTAAATTCAATAGAATTTTCGACAAAATGATTGGAAGGCCATTGAGAGCAAGGTGATATGGGTGGTAACCATAAGCTAGCACTGCGGACACACATCCTTGATTTATGTACTAGTATCGATTATCTAAACAGCACCCTCTAGTGTCACAATAAGTACCCACAATGCACTCATCTGCTATGTATCTTTTCATAATACAGCATATAGACTGGAGATGACATCACTTCCTGCAATGCCACTTTCCTGACTGTGGAATCGGACGTGAACAACCACTTGTTACTAGGCACTTCATTTAAAGCCGTTGGTATTCGACGGTACGTCACAAAGTGACCGGAGTATGCGTCTCCTCGATGAACTACAACCGACATTAGTCGGTAATTGCATTCCATTGAAAACTGCCTATAAAAGCACAAAGCAAAATATGTATGGGAGATTAAGACAGCCGTGTATCAAAACCCCAAAACTGATCACCCTTGGCAACTATGAACATGAAGCAGTTTAGGTCAATTCCACTAACCTAAGTTAAAGCTACAATCTGGGTTCAAAGTTCATTTCAAACATTCATTCCCTGCCATGGATTTTATCAGTCCATTGATACAATTGACAGATTATAAACTACAGATCAACTACACAAAATGATCAGGAATCCTCCATTTTTTTTTTTGCAAAACAATAATAAAAATTACCTCTGAAATACAGCATTGATTGCTGTGGACGTATCAGACACTTTATTCCTCACCAGTGATTGGGTGAAACCATTTCTGTACAGCCGTGGGAGGCCGCTCATCACACAGCGTGGTTTGATCATATCAAAGGCACCGTTTGAAAAATACTGTGTTCCGATTGATGTGCTTAAGTGAAAAGACAAAGTTGAAGAACTATGAAGGAGATACGTAGCGAAAGTTTGGAGCAAAGTTTTGAGAGAGAAAATTCTTTTGTTGTTTTCACATTTTTGACCTGAACGAACATTGATACTACCAACTTTAGATTTGTAAGACAAATTAAATTCATTTTTCATGACTTAAATACATTGCAAAATTTGGTATATATGTGAAATCTTGCATTGGAAGCAAAAATTTTAAAAAATTAGATGAAAAGTCAAAAAAATACAAAACCCTTGAAAATCTTGGCCATGTATGGGTTTAGTTTGTTTTTTTATATTGCTAATTGATCTTCATATGTGTAAATTTAAACGTAAAACATGATTTTAACATCCTGAATTATAGGGCACAGTAAATATGCATAAATAATCAATTAATTATAAAACTCACTCAATTGGCGAATGTTTCTCATTAATAGGTGAATGTGATACACCTTTCTTGTTATTGATCTGTGGCCAATAACGAAAGTGATCCATATTTAAAACTTCCGGAAATTGTACCACATCCTCTCGTTTCATCGGCATTCCATTTGACAACCATATCCTTCTATTAATGTGGATACATAAACACTGTGGAAGCTGTCAGTGAAGAGAAACTGATTAATAGAATCACAAACTATATGTATTTTATTAATAGCGCATTCCAAAGTATCTGCCCACACAGTAAATAACACGTGTGTGTCTCATATCATGTAACAAGACTTAATTTGCACCTTGGCTATTACAAAAATTTATGGCTAAGACTGCAGATTTAGCCCAGATGCAACATCTCAAGTTTATGATTATGATAGAATTCTTCCTGAACTATTGCAAAAGTAGATTAATCAAGAAATCTAACATAAACCACAGCAGGTAGTGTTATGAAACGAGCTGTATAAGTGAAACAACTGAACACAAAACCACTAATTGATAAAATTTAACTTACTTTGCCAATGTTCAACTGTTTAAGAAACGTAGCTTTCGGTTTAATCCTGTCATTTCGCAAACCATTCTTCTTAGTGGCAAGTCTTGTGTATTTGGCCAGTTGACGGGCACACCCACTGCACTCCACGTCTTCCACAATCTCTGACATTATAAAGCGATGTAGTAAGGACTCAAGCGAGAGGCAGCCAGATGATCTGGGAGGCAGACTCAACGATATACTGTCAAAGTTATCATACTTGATAGGACACTGAAATAGAAATGAGAGTGGCATATAAAACTGTCTACCATTGGCTACCCAGGTCTATGTACTTAACTGTTAAGCCAATTAGAGACTTTCCTACTAGTTTGCTGAGAATTTTAACAAAATGTCATGATCCTCTAGTTCTACTATAACTGAACTAGCCTCTAAACTGTGTGCATGTAAATACTGTGTATGTATTAGATAATAGGTGATAAACATGACCACATCCACATCACCAAACCTGGTACTTTCTGAGAAAGCAAACACACTATGGATGAAGTCCAGACAGTACTTCATATTGACGTGGTGCTTGCCACTGACATCTATGGTCAAACCTAATCCTTTTGTACATATACTTATAATATGATAAGCCATATAGTTTACTCCCTGATTCTCATTGGCTGATTTTACATCACATGACCGCTGCATGGAATCATGGGTAAGCCATCCAGGTTATACACTTACTTTGTATCCACATTGCTTGCATGTTAGCTGACTAGCAAATGATCCACCAAAAGGATGCTCCATTTTGTTGCCTGGTAATTTTAAAAGTTGTGTCTGACAGCGGCTTCTAGCCCTGTCTTGCATACCACATGTAGCCTGAAGGGTGAGAGTAATTATCTGTGGTAATCATCCCTGCTTAATTTTACAACACACAATTGAGATTATTTATTCACCTTACCACCAGAGGGCGCTATGTACCATATCAGGGAAAGAGGTATTTTAAGATGCCACATGATGAAAGTGACTCTTATTGCATGTGATTGGGCAATTTAAAGTCATGTGTCATTCCCAAAATGAAACAATTCAGTCTATAATTGTGTAAATGTGCATATACTGTAAAACTGGAAATGCAAAGTTATTTCTACAAGTGAGCCAGTGAGTGGCAATATTGAACAGTTGAAGGACTTCTAATAAGTTTTCACTTGATTAGCTGAATGTTTGTATAAAATATATTGGAAATAAATAAATTTTACAAATCCACCATTTTAAGTGTTTTAACTTGCATCAAATTATCACCAAAACAAACATATGTTATGATCATGTCTATACTCATTTTACAAATGACACACGCAAATTTTGATCGGTACTCAGTATGTTTTGTTATTAAGGTAGAGATGCAGTTTACCTGACAGGTATTTTAATTAGTTAATTAGGAAACCAAGATGACCTCCCTTATCCAAAGACCATATATTTTCGGAAAGCTCATTGTATGAATTTTAAAATGTTGTTAGTATTTTTTTTATGGGCACTGTAGTTTGATAAATGCACAAAAATATACTTTTTTGGTTAAAAGTGATTTAAAAAAATTTTGCTTCTAAACCATGCTTCTGTTTCCTGTCAACCAGTTGTCAATTTTGCAGCAGCAGCTCAAATTTCACTACTTCAAGTTTACGCATAAATTAACACCCAGGCTAGTTGTACGATTGTTGTAACACTGTTCAACCAAAAACTATGCCCCGATGGCGTTTTGAAGATAAAGTTCTGGGATGTGCACTAAAAAGAAGCCGAGATAATTCCTAATTTGCATAACAATTCACTCAGTAAGAAGTTTGCTAATGATCATAATTAAAATGGCTGTAACAGTTTCAAATTTAAGTGTATTATCGTTTTGTTAAAAGTTAAATACTAGTGCATAATATGGAGATCCCGTCATTTCTTTTTTTCACCATGTTTCTTTTTTATTATTTATGTACAGCCTTGCTAAATCTTGCTAAGCATTCAAAAGAGAGAATATTTGCACCTGTTATCTATATTTTAAAATGGTTTTTTGAGTATGTTCCACTATTCACAATTCTACAAAATTTTAACAGTCTATAGCCAAGACTGTTAATAAAAATGGATAATAAAAAGCAAAAAAAAAAATTTCACTCCCAAGTACCCACGAACCTGCATCTCTACCTTAACCTTTCACAACCAGACTTTCTCGACAATTTTT